TTTTCCCCTGCTATCCAGTTCAGGCAAGAGAGAGGGAGACAGAGAAAGACTGAGAGGCAGAGACAGAGACACAGACAGAGACAGAGACAGAGACAGAGGCAGAGGCAGAGGCAGAGGCAGAGGCAGACAGAAATCTAGCTTTTCCAGTCTTTAAACTGTGCCTATTCTATAAAATCAATCGATACATAAATCAGACACTAAGAATGCATCACATATTTTTGAATGAATACATAGGTTAGTTATAAAACTACATGCCAAGAAATAGAAAGCATAATGCAAATCTCTCATATTCTAATAGTTTCTAAATAATGTATTGATTTCCACCAAAGTATTGGTGTCCTTTTTCTTGTGACATAGATACCACCCAAATAATGTCCCTTTCTGAGAGGTGATTTAATGTAGCAAACTATTTCAATCTCTTTTAAATACTTTCTGATGTAATTTAGAGCCACTGGGTGACAGGACTGACAGTGAATTGATAATTTCTATTAATGTCATAATGCTGTCACCCTGTTAAATTACATATTAGTTTCTAATGAGAAAAGACATTGTATTCAAATTTTTCCAGTCTTTAATAGTATACATTCTGAATATTTGATAGCTTTATTAACTAAATTATGAAAATTCTGATAGAAATATACTGATTAATTTATTAAGTTTTATAAGTGTCATTTACAAAAGCAACATCAGAACAACATAAATCAAGAAGCATTTATTAAATTTCTTAGATTTGTCATATAATTTTGTTTTCATTTAATTTATTAGAAACATCTATTTGTTTCTCATCTATTACATTCATTTTCAAATAATATATAAATATTGATACTTCAAAAATATATATTTGCTTCAAGTAGAATATATAGCTTTCAAATATACATATTTATAGTACATAGGAAATTTAATAAATGGTTTAATAAGCAATATAATTTATAAAAATACTTTTTTAGCCATAGCATAATATCACTATATTCATGTAATTTTTATTATTTAATCCCTAGTATATTTTGTCTCTGTTTTCTATATTTATTCCCTTTGTTTTATTGTATACATGGCAGCAAATGTGAAGTTCATCTAGAAAAGTCTTAAAGGCTTTACATGACAATGCACTTATCAATGATTCTGCCAGATAATTGAAAACAGTAATTTATAGTGCCAAAATTTTAAAAACTCAGAAATTTATTTAAAATTTTTTCAGGAACTTCTAGCTTACTCTCTCACTATTATTCTACTGGGTCTGCCTACTTGAAAAATTCAGTGTCTTTTAAAGTCCACAATTCGTAGGGGGAGGGGCTTGTGGGTTAGTTCAGCTGTTTAAGTGCCTGCTTGGGCAAACCAAGCCGGGCATAGGGGACCACAGTTCGATCCCTGCCCCCACATGCTGTACCAGACCCGCCCTTAAGGCAGGCTGAGCCAGCAAAAAAAAAAAAAAAAAAAAAAATCCTTGTCACAATTTGTATGGCAACATTTGTTCTGTAATGTTCATATACAAATGGAGAAGATGTTTTTCCTTCTAATACAGGAAAGAAATTGCCTTTACACTTTGATGTTTGTGTTTTAAGTAAATTTTGAAAACTTGTATATGAGAAAGTTCGAATGTCATTAATATCTTAAAGCTTTGACACGTACAAATTTGCTCATTTTGGAGCTACCTGCTTTATAAAACAGTAACATGAAACTGATTTGCATAAATATATCTATCTCAGAATAATTATGTTAAGTAATTATAATAATTTTCTCTTTTGAAATGCTCTATCATTTCAAATATAAGTATTGTTTAAAATTTTGATATTATTTTTCTAAGTGTTTTGCTTTTTATTAATACTATTTGATATTGTATTTTAAAGTTTTATTTTATTATTTTATTATTATTAAGCCAATATTTTAAAAGGTTTGCTTTTAGGGACTGGGGAGATAGTTCAGTGGTCTAAGCACCTGCCTGGCAATCACAAGGACTTGAATTCAATCTCTGGTACGGCATGCCGTGCCAGCCCTGGAACCCCAGGGGTGCTGGGCCAGCCACTGAAACCGGGCATGGTGACCCACACCTGCAATCCCAGCCCTGGGGAAACTGAGGTAGGAGGATCACTACATGCCTAAACTGTGTAGGAAGACCCTCATACAGATAAATAAATAATTTTTTTTAAATGAATAATAAGGGGCTAGGGAGATAGCTCAGTAGAATAAGCACTTGCCTGGCAAGCACAGGGTTCTGAGTTCAATCCCCAGTACCGCCAAAAAAAAAAAAAAAAAAAATGAATAGCGATTTTTTTTGGGGGGGGGATGGGGGCTGGCTCAGGATGACTTAAGGGCAGGTCTGGTAAGCCATGAGGATCTGGGGATCAAACCACAGTATCCTGAGCCTGACTGCTTTGCTTAAGCAGGCTTAAAGATGAATAAAAGGTTTGCTTTCATTTAAAACATTAATTTGTTATTAAAAATGTTCATTTTATGAAACTAGTTTTATAACATTCTCTATTTTCCTTTTCATTATTAATGATCACAGGTGATCCTCAGTATAAGATAAATGTGATAAAAAATAAACACAATAATTTTGATTTTAGATAATACACATTTACAGCATTATTTGAATCCAACATTTCTTTATCAAGTAAAAATAACAGACTAATTTTTATTAAGCTAATTTTCATTTCAAAAGGACAACTTGCTTAATGCTGATTTTTTAATGTTATTTGACCCTGTATGTACTAAGAAACGTTTCATAGTAATTAATGTTTGCATGTCATTGCCTACTCCAGTATCAGCTCTAATAACTGGTAAAATTTCTAGTTTTTTCTTAGATTTGAAAAATTCACACTGATAGTATTGAAAAGAAAGAGCTTTAATGATTTAAACTTGTCTCTTTCAGTGGTTTTAGTAACTCAGCACTTCTTGAATTGTAATTATCAAATAACCACACATTTAGAAGAATTAGGATGCTTGAGCAAGCCAGTGAAAGTACCCAGCCCCGAGTAACTCAGAAATTCCAGCACTACATAATCATAGGCAGAGAAAAGCTGATGAAGGACTCCAGCAAGACACTGAATGCTGCACAACGTCTGTGTGGTGCGTGGCGTGGACCGACTAGCTCTGAAAAACAGGTGTGAGGTGTCACTGTGGAAGGAGTTACACTTGTCATGCACCCTTCCCAGTTCATCCTTCATTGTGTCACCACGCTTATCTTAAAATAAATTAATCACAATTTTCTTCCACTTCTCAGAGAACAAAAAAATTGTGAGCTGGGATTCATTGGATCACTTCACTTCTTTGTTACTCAAAGCCAGTGTGTATGAGAAGCATGAACAGGGTTTGTTAAAATAGAAATTGCTGTTCAACCCCAGAATGTCTTAAATTATTTGGTCTACGGGAGGGTCTGGAAGCCACAGGTCTAAGAATTCCCAAGGCGTGTTGGTATTCTACTCTAGGCACTGTGGTTTGAAAACCAACTTTACTCTCAAGACCTTCAAGCAGACAGACTTAAATAGCCAGAAAAAAATCTTATTATTTCATCTAGCAAGAAGGCATGATAAAAATGTATGCAATCATTTAATAGCTATATTTATATGGACTAGTTTGCATTTAGACTCTGAGAAACTTATTGCTAGGACTTGGCAAAAACGTTTATGCTTTCTCCCACCCACCTCGGCCCCAAATAATTACACTTTTCTTCTGCCGAACTCATAAATAATTACAGAGGACTTTATATAATACAGTGGAGGAAAATGAAAAGGAAACAGCGGACATGAATCAAAATTCATTTATTTAGCTCAATGCCCTGAAGTAAAAGAAAGCAAATTCAATCTAACTATAGAGTCTCACCCAAATTAGTGCCAAATCTATTACACATTTTATAGAGTAGAAAACTCTAGTGCTATTGTTACAGCTATCGTACCTTAGGGAGCATAATTAATATGTATCAGAGGTACAGAATTTTATTGGTACATAATTTTGCAGCAAAACAAGCCTAGCAGGACACAAAACATGTGTTTTCCCTTGTCTGACATGAAGCTTTTTTTTTTTTTTTTAATGTATTTAGTACAGGATCTACAGGATCTCACACACAGATCAGACTCATAGTGACTCTCCTGTGTTCAGCCTCCCAAGTGCCGCGATTACAGGCGCGCACCACCATGACCAACCTCAATCGCCATCTCAGCACACCCTGGGGGTGGGGCCAGCACAGCATGCTGGGGATCGAACCCCCAGCCCCTGCATCTGCCTCAGCAGGTGCTTTAATCCGCTGAGCTATCTGGTCAGCCCTTATGAAGCTTTCAACAAATAAATTTATTCACTCAACTCTATATTACTTGATCTGTCGACTTTTTAATGAATTTTCTCTAGAAACTGCTTATCCCAATGAAAAGTTACATTGCCATTTAACGTATTACAGACTCATGGGAAATGGAATTTCTTAAGATTAAATGTAAGCATTTCTATTCTTACGAAATTTCACTAAGATGTGCCTATACCAGTGTATTTTCTACTTTTAGCCTAATAGAGACTATGTATTTCTTAAAAATCTGGGATAAGCCCATCCCACAGCAATATTAAAAGGTCTCTTTTCTGGAAGGAACCTGAGCTCCCCCTTATTTCCAGTAGTCACCAAATTGCATTGTTAAACAGTCAGCCTTTGTGCCAGTCCACTTGTAAGGCTGCTATAGCTTTCAGTAGAGCAGATTTTAAATTCCACCAAATGATGCAGGCAGTTTACATCTCCTCCCCCTGCAAAGTACCATCTATTTTTGCCTAAAGGAATTGTGAATAATTTCATCTTTTGCCAGGCAGAATTAGAGCCCTGCCCTCCCAACTCCAACACTGTGTCACAGTCACACTGCCCTATGGCAGGGGGCAGGGGAGAGCAGCTTACTCTGCAATCATCCTCAAGCATCATGCTTCAGTACGCAGGAAAATGAGTGCCAGCCACATTACTGCTCAGGACTGAAAAAAATGAGGCTGTTCCAATGCCTAACACTCTCTTCTTTTTTTTCTTTCCTTCCCTCCAGCCCAGGAACAGCAGCAACTGATGCACAGCAACCAGGCTGAAAGTCACACAGCTGTTGCCAGAGGAACGGTGGAAGAGCTGCAGCTTCAGCAGCAGCAAGACTGTGGCAACTCAGGTCATGGATTGTGATTACTATCTCTCTAACCAAGCTATTATCAACACTACATATTACGACGTTCAAACGAGAGATTTCTGGCCAGTCAAATGTGTGATGGAAACACATTAGCATACCTCTCAGTCCTTCCTGGGGGTGGGTGGGGGATGTCGGGCACCAAACTGAATGAGCTTCGGGTTCCCTAGGAAGGTGGATAATTGTTGCAAAGCTTTATGCAAACCCAGAAAGAGAATAAAATTTTTGTGATGCTGGATGATAGAGGAAAGAAGAGGTTTCCAGACATACTTTACCCTCGGAGAGGTGTGATCCTGGAAGCAATGCACTGATTGCCTGAAAGGTGCAGAGAAGTCTCTTTCATTACTTAAAAGACAGTGACTCAGGAGGCCATGATTACTAAGGGCCCGTGAGAACCTTGTGTCCACGGAAAGCTGGCATGTCGCCTACGTTCTCTTCCTCCCGACCATAAGTGCTTACCTTACCCTTAGGAATATTGGTGTGTGTACTGCTACCACCTCTGAACTGTGCTTAGTATAGATCTATCCTGACTTAAGGAGATCTTTTTAAGAATGCAGGTGAATGTGCCTTAAAATTTGTTCTCCAGTATAGCAAAGGGATTAGAATTCAGTATCTTTAGAAAATACTTGCAAATGTGTAAATTATTGAATTCCATATGTAAAAAGACAAAGAGTACCACTGCTATATGAAGTGATTCTTTCTAAACCCTGATTCTATAACTAACAAAATTCTCTTAGTATATCTACAGTCTCTTTTATGTATATATACATATATCTAATGCTGTGTTATGGATTTAGAAGCAGTTTTTCAACCCTCAGTTTTTTCCAACCCTTTGAGAATGTGACAGTAGCTCTTTTAGATTAAAAAAAAAAAAGATTGGCATTCTTGGAAAAGTTAAACATTTTAGAAATCAAAGATACAATGCTTTTTATAAATGTCTCCCCTTCAGTAGCCTTAGCTTTTGGGTTGCCATTCAGTAAATGAATGTAGCCTATTTTCAAATACATCAGTGCAAATACAGTTTATTTGAATAAGCTTTAGACCCATCATGATATTTGAGTGGTTGTAAACATAGACTTTAACTGTTTCCCACTTTCTCTCTCTTTAGCACTGATGCAGAAGCTTGCTGACCAGATGGGCCAGCAGGCAGAGAAGCTGGCTGCTCTGCAGAAGAAGGTGGACAACATTTCCTTGGCTGTGGACGATTTAAGGACCACGCATTCCTCATTAGAAGCAAAAATCAGTGATGATAAAAACAGAGAATTTCAATCTTTTCTAAAAGGTCAAAGTAACAAAATAAATTATTCATTCATTTAAGACAACAGGCAAATGAATCACTTACCTTTTTCATGTCACTTTGGAATTTTTGCTTTAAATTGCGTTGTATAGAAATCTAAGACATGCACTTTGAATGAGTATTTTAAAATCACTCAACCTCTGAAATAATATGAAATAGCACATTAAAATATTTTGCTATTTTTTCCTCTGCTATAGTTGATAGTTTAAAAAAAAAAACTAGGTAGAGGTTTTTTTTAAAGCTAAGTAGGTAGAAATTTGACACATTCTCCAGCAGTGCAGATACTTTCACAGCTCAACCATGATTTTTGTCTTATAATCATATAAATAACTGGTGCTATTTAGCTACTGGAAGAAACTGAGTTCTACAAATTTAGTATGGCTAGAATTACTAATACCACCCAGAAAAGTAGAACTTTTTTGCTCTGAATTGATAGCATAAGAAAAAAAAAAAAGCCGTAAAAAACGATATACAGTTGGCTGTAAACACACCAGTGAAATTTGTTTAACAAATTTGGTTATCACAATCTGAAAGACTTGAACCTGTATACTGTTTTTTGTGACCTGCTGACCTACTAAAAATTCTGACACTGACAGGAAAAAAACACACTCACAGAAGCAATAATGTGATCCCCTTCCCAGCAGAGGGATTAATTATGTCCTAAACACAGTCATTAATTAGGAGAACTAGAGGACTTGTGTAGTTAATGAATACTTTTACAGAAAATACAAACCAAGCTTACCCCTAAGGTGTTCCCAATTGCCCAGCAAAACCACAAATTCTCCCCTGGCTTGTTTCATGTTCTGGGTGAAAAGCACAGCTTAATCTCTATGCCAGGACCCTACTGAAAATTAAAACCTTCACATCTTGCAAAATATTCAGGTGTTATGAAAAGACTGTAAATGGCCAGTCACAGAAAGGTTAAGCAATCTGACACCAATTGTCTTAGTTATTTTTTCATTGCTGGGACAAAATACTCAACACACACAAGTTAAAGAAGAAAAGGTTTATGTCTGCTCACCATTTGTAGAGGTTTCTGTTCATAGTTAGCTGGCTCTAAGAAGTATGACAGAAGTACGTGGCATAGAAGGCAGGAAGCAACAAGTTTTCCTTTCCCTTTAAATTCCATCCAGGTTATAAACTGAATGGGCTATCCACACCCAGGGTGGGGCTTCTGTCTTTAGTAAATCCATTCATCCACACTCAGAACTATGCTAATTTCAATCTGTGGACTAATCCAATTGTCACATGGCCATAAATCATATTCCCACACCCTAGATCCAGCCACCTCTGAAAAGCCCTAACTGAGTGGAGGGGAGATGGCTCAGTAGAATAAGCACTTCCCTGGCAAGCGCAAGGTTCTGAGTTCAATCCCCAGTTCTAAAAAAAAAAGAAAAAGAAACAAAAAACAAAAGCCTTAACTATGAGCTCATGGAGCTTTGAAAGAACATCTATAAGCCATAACACCAATGTACTGGGGTGAGGGATTTAGCTCAGTGACATAAGCGCCTATCTGTCAAGTACAAAGTCCTGAGTTTTACCGCCAATACCAAAATAGAATGTCCGTATCTCAATATATATTATCTTTTTAAGACAGCAGAAGTACTGACATCACAAGAAACAATCAAATAGTTCGAAATGATGTGCCTACACAGATATAAACATAAGGAACGTTGACATATTTTTGAAAAATAACTCAGACAAATGTTTCTGTAGTAACAAGTTGTAGAAGTATACTCTGAAAAGCTCTTTATCCCTAAACAAAATTTTAAGATAATAATTTAATGCCTTTTCAGGCACTGCTATACATTTTTTCCTTCTCTGATGTATTTTTCCACAGATTTTAAAACATTATATCTAAAGAACCTCATATTTTTATTTTCTTTTTGTTTTTCTTTTTCCTTCTTTGATCAAGATTCTTTACTGAATTTTCTCTGTGCCATGTTTTTATCCGTCATTCATGTTCGGCTCCAGTCACACAGTTCTCCTTGGGTGAAGTTTAACACCTATTGTCACTGCCTATAACTAATTAACTTAATGAAGTTTAAATTCCATTTTACCTTTTTGATCTGGGAAAAAAAATCTTAAGCCAAAATCATGCACTTATATACTCAAAGAAGATCTAATCCTCAATCTTAAATATATTTTCTCATTTTGTCGAGTTTCACAATTAATGAAACTGATATACTCTGCTCTTAAGACCACAAATCTAATTTTCCAGTTTTCATTTCTTGTGTGTGATTTCAAATGTCTTTAATGAACATTTGTTAAATAAATAGGTAACTGGTGAAGTGCTAACCAAAATTTAGAAAACAAAAGTATGTTAAAGCTTTTCTAGTTCATTCTTAGAGATGAAGCCTGAGAATGTTTCTGAATAGCTTCTAATTTTGTGGTTGTTCAAGCCTTTCAAATTACTTTGTGTTCTTTCCTCAGTATTTTGGCCCCAGGTGTCACTGATTATTATTCAATGTTTTACATAATTTTATTATTTATTTCTATTATATACAAACTGATCTAACTTTATTTCAGTTCACAATAGGTTCAGAAACAAAATATAATTATTCTTTAAGTTTGCAGCTTTGAATTTTACAGTAATACAGATTTCTAGGGACATGTTTATCCCTGGAAACAACCACTCATCTTTATACTTTATCATTTTGCCAGATTAATACCAAGATGTTAAGAAGTATATCATTCCTATTCTTTATTACTATTATTCTTTCACAATATTTTTGTAAGTCTTTCACAGATATTGAATACTTTTGAAAATGTGCTTCCAAAATAGATACACATAGGAACAATATTCATTTTTATTGTATGTTCCTAGGTAAAATATATCATACATCCATTTGTCATACATACAGATATCTTGATAGTACTGGGGATTGAACCTGGGGCATAGCCACAGAGCTACATTCCCAGCCTTTTTTAGGTTTTTATTTCGAGACAAGTTCTCACTAAGTTGTCAGACTTGAGCTGCACATAGATTTTTAACAATTACTCATGTAGTAATATAGCATTCTACGAGCCTTCCTGTGGAGAATCCTTTGTGTTATGTTGCTTGTATCTTACACTTACTGGCTCATTTTAACTTGAGTGGCCATACTTTCCATTTATACAGGCTTCACAGCTGCATACTATAAATATATATAGTATACATGTCTTTTATTTTTTTGTTGCTTTTTGTTTGTTTCTGATGAAATGGTGCTTTATTTCCTTTACATTTTTAAGTATTCATTTTTCTCTTTAATTCATTTGGAGCAGTCTAGTACCCTTCTCCTTTCCTGTCTTTTAAAAATACTATACTTCAAGCCTACACAGTCTTAGCTTATGACTAGCCCCTGTCCGACCTTGGAGGCACTAGTGTGGCAACTTTCTTCTTCTCTTTCTCCGTAATGCAGTACTATAGAACACCATATTATCATAATCAAACATATCTTAAGTTCCTATTTTTGTTTTCAGATTGACTTACTTTGAACCCTAATCCTCTTTATTTTATCATTACAAAAGCATTGTTAAATCTCGTACCCATTACTTCATACTTTCCTTCAACTCATGCTCTTCTCTGCAGTGATTTTATTCATTTTTATGAGTTCAATGCAGAAGATGTGAACCTCCTAACTAGAAACCTAATAACGCAGTCTTGAGTTAACCATAGGTTTTATTTATGAAGCACAGACCCCAAAGCTCTTTATTTTCATTTAAGGCTAGATCTAGAATTATTGCATTCAAGGGTCTATTACCAAAGTCAACTTTTTGATATCTTCTTTGGTGTATAGTTCTAGTATGTTCAATACCACAATTGATTGCTTCTCTCTAATTATTCAGTTAAAATGATCATCTTCTATAAATAATAATTTTAAGTCATAAGGAAATAAATTAGAAAATTACTTTTTTAGTTCATTATTAGTATTTAATCTCAAACTTTATTTTGTTAGAGATACACAAAATCTTGGGCATTTAAAATCACATTTTTCTTCTTATTATTTGTCATCTCTTCTGTTAGGTCTGAAATCCAAAAGTATTAATGACCTGGTGAAAAGCACAGTTAGAGAGCAATTTAAAGTCTTTCAAAGTGATATGCAGGAGACTGTAGCACAGCTCTTCAAGACTGTGTCAAGTCTATCACAGGACCTGGAAAACACCAAGCAAGTCATCCAACAAGTGAATCAGTCTGTGGCTTTAATAGCTGTCCATCAAAAGTCTGTTTTAATTCAAGAACATAAACCCAGTTTAACTGATATAGTAGATCTAAAGAATCGCGTCTTTAATGTCAGACAAGAAATGACTGCTCTATGTGAGAAACCCATTAAAGAACTAGAACTGAAGCAAGCTCATTTAGAAGGTGCTCTAAACCAAGAACACATGAGGGGCATTCTATACTATGAATCCCTCAATAAGACTCTTGCTAAAATGAAGGAAGCAGGTGAGCAGCTTTTATCTACCACACAAGAGTCAGATGGGAAGGAAGCTACCGCTGCTGAAACAGTCAACAGTAACATCTCTGAGTATGTATCTGCTCTGGATGAGAAGATAAGCAAGCAGGGCTTGATGTTGCTGAAAATATTTGATGATTTCCACAGCCAAAAAAGCAAGGTTAACAATCTCACCATCAGTTTAGAGAGGGAGAAAGAATCCATCAGGAGCGAATGTGAGGACATGCTGGCCAAGTATAGAAATGATTTTAAACTTCAGCTTAAGGACACAGAAGAGAATTTACTGGTGTTAAACCAGACACTGGCTGAAGTTCTCTTTCCAATGGACAACAAGATGGATAAAATGGGTGAGCAACTAAATGATTTGACATATGACATGGAGATTCTGCAACCCCTTCTGGAACGGGGAGCATCCCTTCAACAGGCAGTGACGTATGACCAACCAAAGGAAGCAGCGCTTATAAAGAAAAAGGTGGAAGATCTGATTAGTGCTGTCAACAGTCTAAATTTTCTTAGCAAAGAGCTTACAAAAAGACACAACCTGCTTAGAAATGAAGTACAGAGACAGGGTGAGACCTTTGAACAACGTATTCGCGAATATGGATTGGAAATGGAGGATGGCCTAAATAAAACAATGACTATTATGAATAATGCCATTGATTTCATTCAAGACAACTATGTGCTGAAAAAGAATTTATATACTACTAAGTATAATTCTGAAGTCCATCATAAATGCAACCAAAACATGGAGACTGTATTGGCACTTATTGCTCAATTCCAAAGTTTGAATGATTCCATTCAGATTTTGGTCAATGACAAGCAGAGACACAATTTTGTCTTAGAAGTTGCCAAGGCCCTTGCAGACATTCCTGAAGATGAGAAACTACATCAGTCCCACTTTCAAAAGATTTACCAAATATTCAATGAAACTGCTTCCCAACAAATAAAATTACAAGAAAATGTAAGTCATTTGGAAGAAAATTTAATCTTGGTTACTAAAAGTTTTAAAAATTTTGAAACTCGGCTGAAAGTCATTGAATCTAAAGTGACCCAAACACTCCTACCTTACTATATTTCACTTAAAACAAGCATGACCACAAATGAGAGAGACCAAGCTCTTCAATTACAAGTATTGAATTCCAGGTTTAAGGCTCTGGAAGCAAAATCCATCCGCCTGTCAATTAATTTCTCTTTGATTAACAAAACTCTTCATGAATTTCTAATGATGTGTCACAGTGATTCTACAAGTGCATCAGAACTGAATATTACCACAGCGAAGTGGGTAAAAGGTTCCTTGCCAGATCGTCAGCAGAAATGTCTGACAGAGTTTGTGGAATCAATAGTTGAAATAAAGACTCAGGCTGCTCTGTCTAATTTCACTCAGTTTATAGAGCGCTTAAGATCTGATAGTCTGACAAACATTGTCGAATCTCAGAAGCAAGTAAAAAAGCCAAAGAAACTTAATACATTTAAGAAACCAACAGTAAATCTTACCACTATCCTCATAAACCGGGCCCAAAGAAACACAGACAACATTGTATTTCCAGGTAAGTAGGTACTAAAAAATAATTTTAAGCTACTTTTTCATTTAAATAATATGCAGTATATTTGTAAGGTTTAATAAGATTATCCACATAAAAATATCTTACTTGAATTTGGTCAGGAGAGGCATAGATCACTGATGCATTATTTGATGCTGATTCTGTGTAAGTTTGATATCAAGATAGAGCAGTACCTGTGGTGTATATACTGGACTACATTTATTTTTTGCTTTTTCTGAGTAAAGCACTATAAAATAATCAATTAAAGTTACTGTGGTTTTTTTTTTTCTGTGCAGACTGTGTTTGTTAAAAGCTGTGACACAATGAGCTCCTTGGTAAATAAGACCAGAAATTCATTCTGATATCACTGAACACAATACTGGATATGTAGTAAGATCTCAGGCAGCATCTGTTGAAGAACAGTGTAAAAGTGACTGTTCAGGAATAAGCTGCGGTAGATCACAGAAGTTTGTACATGTCAAGTCACGTTGCTTAGCTAAGGTGTTTCAAAGAGATGAATCTCTTCAAACAATCGGCTCAATGAATGAATTGGGTGTAGTAGGAACTGTGATTCAGAAACTTGAGGCTATTTTCTGAACAGTAGTGCAGCGCAGGATTGCAAAGAACCCCGGAAAACCAGCGAAGATCTTACTGAGTGAATTTTTGCAAAAGCAGTAAGAGTAAGAGCTAAAGAAGAGACGATTGAAACAGAGAAGACAAATGTCAGAAATGTTATGGCTATCCGATAGAAAGAGAGACAATGGAAATAGCTGTAATCTTAGAACTGGAACTTGATTTTTTTTTTTTTTTTTTTTTTTTGGTGGAACTGGGGATTGAATTCAGGCCCTTTCGCTTGCCAGGGAAGCATTTATTCTACTGAGCCATCTCCTCAGCCCCTGGAACTTGATTCTGATCCTAGCTGCATTAGTAAGTTTCTGTCTTAGCAGCCTTATGTAAAACGTGACCTCCCAGGCCTCAGTTTCTTCCTGGGAAGTGATGGGATTACAACAGGTAATTCACTGAGGTCATTAGAGGTCTGTGTTGCAGACTGCATCATTGTAAAAACCACAGATTAAAACACAACCCACCAGCTGTTCACAGCCTGAATGCAAGTCACTTTAAAGAGAGAAACTCAGAATATTTTAAAGTTTTTAATCTGGGTAAATAGGTGTTATAAATACCATGGGAGAAGCATCAGCATCAGCTGGAGGGGAAAGAGAGCCAGTGCGGTATAAACTGTCTAGTAGTCTCTCTGTGTGAAAGAAAAAAAATTGGAGTGTTTAATGGGAATAATAGCAAATATTTTCACAAGGAGACTAGCTCCTTAAGCTTACTAAAAGAAATGGCTATAAAAATTTTTTTAAAAAAAGAAATGTCAATTTTTCTTTTCTGAATGTGTTTTTAAATGCCCACTAGAATTATTTTTATATTTTGTGTTTTTTAAGTTACGAAAGATGCTCATTATTCCAATTTCAAAAGATTTTACAAATGGAATCTCTGAATTTTTATACTAAAAATCGCAGAATAATATTGAAATGAAATGTAATTAGTACTTTTTTAAAATCATTCCCACAAATTAATCTGACCTAGGAGAATTAATCTTACTCCTCCAGGAGTATAGAATAAACTATTTAGACTTCTCTGTTTCCTAGAGGAATATAGTAACTCAGTACAGGATGTTCCCATAATGGCAGTTGTAGGACTAGTGATGCGCTGTTCTTTTCTTACCCTGCCCTACAGACCATCTCTGGTCTTCATGTGAACCCTGCAGCAGGAGGTTCACTGCAGCTCAGCGTGCATGATCAGACACCAGGCAAGTGGGGTGGTGTGGTCCTCCTTACATTGAAGGCTATCTGGATCTGTATAGTTAGTTTAAAACTAAATAAACTCAAAATTAACTGGAGTAACCAATTGTCTGGGAACATAAGAACTTATATGTTTTGGAAGTAGAAAGAATACATGTTAAGATCTCATAAAAATTCTATTTGGATATCGAGGGGATTGAGTGACTATTGAGTTAAATGAGTTCATCCAAAATAATTCAGTTCTAATTCTCATTTTTGTTCAATAATTCTTTGATGAAATTGTTTCCTCTCCCTTTATTTACTGTGAATAGAATTTTACAGACCTGTCAGCCAAAATTAATCACTTATTTTTTGTTCCATCTCAGAAAATACACCAATAATACTACCAAAGCAATAAAATTGTATTAGCCTAATTATATGTATGGAGTGGAAATTCACTTCTTGCAGGAACAATGGTATGATGTGTGGGGCCATTTTAAGCCCTGTGTGAATTTTCACACGCAGTAAACTAATCTTCCTCCCATGGACCATGGAACTGGCGATATTCACTGGGCAGCTCAATAAGGTCTAGCTAACAAATCCAGTGGACAAAAGCTAAGTTCTCCTTAAAAATAAAGGTGCATAAAATGAAGTAATTTCTTTGACATTCTTTTAACCAGAGGTGGGATATACTGACTAATTATAGCTGTATCCTTTGACCTTAATATTGTATAATTCATACCAGAACTGCATTTTTCCATCCCTACACAATTAAAACAGAAGATAATTCAGCTTTTTATGAAACTTAGTCATAGTATTGCTACTATAACTACTATCATTTATAAAATGCATGCAGTTTGTAGAAGGAAAAGCCATTGAAAAATACTTTAAAATTTTATTTCAATAGATGATAACTTACTTTGAGGCCTAACACTACAATAATATGACATTAGATACTGTGAGTAGGTCCTGTATAATTTATACTATATACTTTCCTTCATTTGCCATTGTGCATGAGGTGTGTGATATCACAGCACTGTTACCATTTTGAAGATAAGCAAAGTAGCCCTCAGTGAGATTATCTGCTAGAAGTGGTTGACCTCTGCTGGCTCCTAATTGCCTGCACTTAGCTCAGTCCTCAACACTACACTCTTCCCTTCTTCCTGCTTCTGTTCCATGCATCATAAGCTTTCCAGTGTCTCTCTACCTGAATATTCTGTATGGCCAGAGTTGGTATTCCTTGGGATTTTCTTTTTAGAGTATCCAAATACTGACACTGAGTTTCTGCTTTGACTCTGGGGACATACATGTAATACTTTCCAGTCTGCCTTTCCTGAGATATGGCCAATAAATTACCACAGGAAGTCACCACGAGTAACTCACAGGTTCTTCCTTTACTGGAAATGGGGAAAACACTTCCTCTTTGAGACTATTCACTGTCATTTCAGTGACTTACCCTAGTCAACTGTTTAGGCTTCCAGAAAACTCCTCCTATTTATAATTATTCCAGTGTTCCTAAGAAAGATTACATTCTGTTAAAAAAAAAAAAAAAAGGTTTAGCATACCAAATGTAGCTTTTAAGAATTGTCATTTTGGTGACCAGAAGCAATAAAAAAAAGAAAAAGGAGCCTTGTGAATATTTAAATGCCTTGTAATCCTTTGAAGCCATTTCTCTGCCTCTTCAGGGGGGGCACTATGGTGGCTAAAGGACCCCAAACTCAGAGTAGTCAGGTTGCAAGTCCTGCCTGGCAACATACTTGTTTGTAATAGGTCACACGTTTTTCTAAATTATGCTTCCTCATCTATGAAACAAAATAGCATGCTTTCCTTACAATTCTATTTTGAGGTAGACAAACTAATCTGCATGTTTCATTAGTTATGAGTACATGGTGCAGTTTTCTTACCTATATTAAATGGTTATATTTTCTCATTCATTACGTCACTAAATATTTGATATATAAATATTTCCAGGTACTGTTATAATTTATGGACTTATGGTATTTCATCATTCTTTCTCTTTGCTTAACTCAACATTTGTTTATGATTTAGCTTAGGCTTGTTGTATAGTAATAAACCAAAAAGACCAGAATACAAAAAATGTAAAGATAATTTGTATAAAAACACATGTATTGATAAACATTGAAAATATATTTGGAAATGTTTAAAGAACAATTTTCTGGCCAGATAGCTCAGCGGACTAAATCGCCTTCTCAGGCAGAGCACAACAGCTGGGGTTTGATCCCGCCTGCCGCGCCGGCCCTGCCCCCGCGGCTCGCTGAGATGGTGATTGAGGCTCGGCATCATGGCTCGCACCTGTAATGCCAGCGCTTGAGAGGCTGAAAACAAGAGGATCACTATGAGTCCAATCTACGTAGTGAGACCCTGTAGACCCTGTACTAAAATACATTTTTTAAAAAAGAGCAATTTTCTGCAAGAGACTTTATGATTTTTTTTTTTTTTTGAAGGGTGTACAGGGTATTCAGGGTCTCACTACTAGATTGGACTTGTAATGATTCTCCTGTTTACAGCCTCCCAAGAGCTGGGATTATAGGCGCGCGCCACCAAACCCAGTCTCAATGGCCGTCTCAGCGCACCTGGGGTGGGGCCCGCATGGCAGGCCCGGGAATCAAACCCCCGGTCCCTGAACCTGCTTGCAGGCACTTTATTCTGCTGAGCTATTTGGCCGGCTCTCTTTGTATTACAAAAAATTTCAAATATACTTCAAGATAGGTAATAAATTAACTTGTGTACAAAATGACTAAATATAAACCACTAAAATTTGAAGACTCTCTGCTTATACTTACAATTTATGCTCTGTTTTAGAAGATTCCCTGAACTATACACACTTCTGGTGATTCTCAAAAACACTCACAAGACCTGGCATATATTATGTTTATAGCTAAGGTTTATTATGGTGAAAAGATACACAGTAGGATCCACTCGGGAAAAAGATTCTGGCAGAATCTGGAGAAATCTCTGCACGGGCTTCTTTATGCCCTTTTCATCCCTTGAAAGAGAACATTTCTGGATGTTCACTCATTTACTTAACACTGCAATTAGAAAAAGATGTAATAATATGTGGTATTATTGCCTCCTAGATGAGCTCATTAGATACTCAACATGTGTGGGCTGGTCCCTTAGGTACCTCCAGCACATCACATGCCAAAACTCCATGTTCTCCAAAGGAAAGTAGTGCTTGGCATTAGCCTTACTGTTTGTGCA